GTGACATGCTCATAGTCGAATCGAGAGGCTTGACGAGACAAATCCAACGAGCCCAAGATCATGGAATTTTGACATCACTAAGACCAAGAATTGTCCAGTGAACGGTCCAGGATCAAGGGATTCAACATTGACCATCCATCAAACCACCTCCCATTTACCCCTCCTTTCTCTTGAAAGGGACCTCAAGCAAGATGGCAAGAGAGAGATCAGAGATTGCTCTTGCCTCCTCGCTCCTCCTCGACCACCGCCCAGACTTCCGCTGGATCACCACCCGACATCGGAGTTTTGCTGGACCACCTCCCAATGTTGGACTTCCGTTGAACCACCACATGAAACTTGAACTTCTGTCGGACCACTACCCGACGCCGGACTTCCGCCGGACCACTACCCCGACGTCACTTCTGTCGGACCACCACCTAATGCCCAGACTTTTGGCCGACCACCGACCAACGCCGAAGTTCTGCCAAACCACCGCTGGACCATCGTCTGATGCCAGAGTTTTGCCGGACCACCAACTAATGTCCGGACTTCTATCGAACCACCGCATGATGCCTAGACTTCTACGGAACTACCGATTGACGCTGGAGTTATGTCAAACCACTGCTGGATCACTGCTTGATTTCAGAGTTACGTTGGGCCACCACCTAACGCCCGGACTTCTACCAGACCACCACCGGACATCCAGATTTTCTACCGGACAACCGACTAACGCTAGACTTCCGCCAGACTTACACCCGGCCACCTACGGTCCTTTCTACCTCAATGATCGAATTATAGTCTTTCTGACCTCTGTCGCCTGCCAACTATGGTCATTCCGACCTCCATTACCTACCACAATCCTTCCAACCTCCATCGCCAGATCATGGCCTTTCTGACCCCTATCTCTTGCCAACTACAGTCCTTCCAACTCCTGTCACATACTACAATACTTTTGTCCTCCATCACCACATAACAGTCTTTCTGACATCTTTCTCTTGCCGACTATGGTCCTTCTGACATCCGCCGCCTACTGCGGTCCTTCCAACCTCCATCGCCAGATAATGATCTTTCTGACCTCTACCTCTTGTTGATCACAATCTTTTTGACCTACGTCGCCTACTATAATCCTTCCAACCTCAATCACCAGACAATAATCATTTTGACTTCTGTCTCCTATCGAGTCCTTCCGACCCATGTCATCTACTACGATCCTTTCGACCTTCATCGTAAGATAACAGTCTTACTAACCCCTGTCTCCTACTAACTACGGTCCTTTCGACCCCCATCGCCTACTACGACCCTTTCAACCTCCATCATGATATAACAGTCTTTCGGACCTCTATCTCTTGCCAATTATGGTCCTTCCGACATCCGCCACCTACTACAGTCCTTTCGACCTCCATCACCAGATAACGGTCTTTCTGACCTCTATCTCCTACCGACCATAGTCCTTCTGACCTTCGTCACCTACTACAGTCCTTCCAACCTCCATCGTCATACAATGGTCTTTTTGACCCCTGTCTCCTATCCACTACGGTCCTTCTGACCTTCGTCACCTACTACGGTCCTTCCAACCTCCATTGCCAGACAACGATCTTTCTGACCACTGTCTCCCTCCAACTATAGTCCTTCTGACCTCCCTCGCAAGACAACGATCTTTTTTACCACTATCTCTCACCGACTACGATCCTTCTGACCTCCATCACTAGACTATGGTCCCTCCGACCACCGTCAACAGAGTAAGGTCTTTCCGACCTCCATCACCCGCCAACTATGGTTCTACTGACTAAACGAATATTTCAATTCCCACCATATAATATGATGTACATTTGCTACATCAACCCAATGCCTTTCCTCCAAGGAAGGGCCTCATTTGTAATCAACTACAAATAATAGTGAATTCATTCAAACTGAGACAGATCCCTTGGTTTTTCCCCATTTTCAGGGGTTTCCATGTAAAAATTTTGATATCTCTTATGAATACAACACCATCTCTTTTATCTGCTTGTGCGCATGGGCGGATCCCAATAGAAGTGAGGGGGGGCAAATGCCCACCCTCAAAAAAAATTTAAAAAAATTTTAGAGGGTATTTTTTGAAATATTTAGGGTATTTTGGGTATTTTGCCCCCTCTCAAAAAATTTTTTTGCCCTAATTTTATCAATCCTAATCATTTTTGTCCATATCCTACCAAAAAAAATTTTTTTGCCCACCCTAAAAATAGAAGCTGGATCCGCCCCTGCTTGTGCGCTGGACCTTCGTACAAAGCTAAGACATTAAATTTCGTATCTCTACCGCCGCGAATATTTCATGACGCAATACTGATAAAACTCTATCACAATAAAATCTTTCTCAAAACATCTCTCTCTTCTTCTTTGAATTTTCTATATTGCCAAAATATGGAAATTTGGATTGAACCTGTGAGTCCAGCTAATTCAACCATAAACCTATTTCTCAATTTATTTGGTTTAAAATTAGGTTCTTTTTGGCCAAAAATAAAAAAGAATCAGGATGAATTGACCATGGTTTCTCCTTCCCAGATGTCTTGCTAAGTCATCCTTCTCAACATTGTAGACAACTTGTTTTAGTGTTTTTCGCTTAGATAAGTATTTGAATTTAAATTTATATTCTATATTTCATTACTTAATTCTTTTTTTTTTATATATATAGCATCATCATTATATGATTAAACTATAATTAAATGGTTTTAATATTATTACTACATCACGGTTTAAATTTCGATAAAATTTCAATTGAACCTTAGAATTTTAAACCATTTCATGTGTGTATCTCTATTTGATTATCCGTTCTCTATCGAAGGGATTCAAGAAAGTCTTTTATAAACCAATTCACTTAGGTTTCGTTTGGGACGGCTTTTTTGTTGTTTCATAAAGCAATTTTTTTAGTACAAAAATAAAATTTTTATACTAAAAAGTTGCTTTAAGAAGCAAAAAAAATCGTCCCAAACGGAGCCTTAAACAAATCTTTAATATTAACACCTCTCTCTCTCTTCCCATCAATTCTTTTGTCGCAATCTATATCTCTAAACTAGCAATGCGTCCACATATGCTTTACAATAAAGCAAAATGTAAGTCAATGAACGAAAAATGTGAATGTTCATCATACGACAATCTTCTGAAATAGTGTTCTCCCTTTTTTCTTTTAGTTTAAAGTTTTAGTCAGTGGAAGATAATTTCATCCAAGAATTTCAATTTTTTTAAATTGCTAAATGTGATTTTTCTTTTTCTTTTAATTTATAAAGAAGATCATTTTAAAATAGAAATTCTTAACATTTTTATTCAAAACCCACCGATGCTTAGCTTGGTTGATGGGTGAGTACAACTCGTGCTCGATTCCCCTCGAGCAACAGTATCGCCTCTTAAGTGGGGCCCAATCATATGCGAGCTAAGAGGTTCCTGGGGTACGTGGGTGTCTCTTTTAGGTCAGCCAAGGATTAATCATGCTTCCAAGTGCTTTTTCGGGCATGACAATGAGTGGATATCCCATTTCAAAAAAAAAAAAAACATTTTCATTCAAATATTTAAAAATTATTTTATAGCTTATTATATAACAAAAAGAAACAAAATTTAATATTTTTTGTAAACTCTATCAGATAATTGTGACATTTTAACTATTGTTCAACGCACCATCTTAGTTCTACAATGCGTTTCAAAGTACATCCTTCTTTGTAGAACTTTATATCTAATTCACTTAACCAAATAATTTTATAATACACACAGTGACGTTGCACGTAGGAAAATATATTAAACAAGTGGTAGAAGCCAAATTTGCAGGTACCTTCAGCAACAAAGCCATCACACTACATAAATATATTTTATTGTGCTCATGCTTCAATGATATGTTTTTTTTATCCTTATATTCTAAAGGATGCTTAGCGGCATGACTAATTCTCAATTAATTTAAAAAAAACACCCATCCTAGAAATCTTATGGCCCGTATTTGATTAGGCCCCACTTAAGAGGCATTGTCGCTTGAGAGGAATCGAGCACGAGTTGGGAGATTCCTAACTGTACTCGCCCCATAGCCAAGCTAAAGAACGGTGGGTCAAAGATATGTTTTATTTGTTCTTGGAGTTGTATTACCTGCTATTTTTCTTTTAAAAAATAATAAATCAAATAAACCAAAATAACTCATAGTGAATTTTTTTTAAAATAATTAATAAAGATTATCATCTTCCACAATGTCATGGGGGGTGTAAGTGGGTAGAGCCTCCTCGAGCTTTACTCATTAAGGAGCTTATAAATTGAGCATATCGTGCCATAAGTTTGAGCTAGAGCTCTATATATCGTCTTGACTCTGACTCACAAATTTATTGAGTTGCTCGATTAATTTTAAATATAATTAAAAATTAATTTAAAATTAATATTATATAATATATTTAAGTTTTTAAAATTAATCTTATATTAGAAATGAAAATTATAATTTAAAATTAAGAAATCGAGTCAATGTTACACTTTTAAAACGAGCTCAAGTAATCAAGCCGAACTCTAACTATAAATTTTTTTAACGAGTCAAACTTGAACTTATTAAAACTTAAATAAATTTAACTCGATTTACTTTTGACTCGACTCATTTATGTCATAGTAATTTCTTGAACACGGGCAGTGAAACGAAAATTTGAATTAGCATATTCTATTTTTTATTTTTTTATTATTTGTATATTAAATTAAGTGAGAATAAAATATTCGGACCGAAATAATACTTATTTTTTTATATAGCAAATTTCTAAGGTTGACCAAACGGCAAGAAAACGCTGCCGCTGGCAAGGGAAAAGCGGAGCACGAAACGAACGGCTGAGATTGCTCTGCAGTTAATCAGTAAAACGGACTGTACAATAATTAATTTATTAAAATAATATTAAAATGGAGGAAAAGTCCAACTTATAACTGAAGCTTCGCACCACCAACTCGATGGACGTAGCTCACTAGCAGAATCGCATCACGAGGAAAATAAATCAATCACTACCGTCCATCAAATATATCCCGCCTTTGAGCCTTTGACTGAAAACTCCCTTCTTTCTCTTTTACTTTTTTTTCCCCCTTAATTTGTAATTTTGATATTTAATTATTTTATTGTTTTTCCTTTCTACTTTATAAATGTTGGCCCAATCTCTTCTTCATCTTCTTCCAAGAACTCAAATAGTTTATGGTGCAGGAGACAGCTAGTGTTTCGGAAGCGAGGAGCGAGAGAGTGTGACATGGCCGTTGATCTAATCGGCTACGCGAAGATGGACGATCAGATCACGATTCAGGAGGCCGCGGCGGCCGGGATCCGGAGCATGGAAAACCTAATCTTCCAGCTCAATCGTCACCATCAGAAATCCACCTCATCGTCTGCAACGGCAGCCACCATCGATTGCCGGGAAATCGCCGATCATACCGTCTCAAAGTTCAAGAAGATGATCTCCATCCTAAATCGCACCGGACACGCTCGATTCCGCCGCGGCCCTTCCAGTCCAATTCTTCCGGCCGCTGTAAAACCTACACCGCAGGTAGCGGTTCTGCCTTCTGCGCCGGCTATGGCGGTACCCGTTGTCCCCTTACAGAGCCTGACGCTGGATTTCACCAAGCCGAGCTCCGTTGGCGGTGCATCCAGTGACCTTGCCATCGTTGCCGCATCATCA